TTTTATTCCCATGAACTTACCGATCGCAAGCGCTTGGACACTTCGATAAGATTAAAGCGATCACAGACAGAGGCATTTCAAAGGTGACTGCTATGAATACCTAGGTAGACACAGAGGCTAATACTTTTACGATTTCTAGGATATCCGTACTACGTAGGCATTCTCACGCATTATCACCGTTTTACGATAATAGAGGCTGCAAAACCGACAAGTCGAGTTTGTAACGTAAACTCCGTGTCTTGCCTTGTGTAATGATCTATCTAATATAATATCGATAATGTAATTATATCGATAAAGCAGTGATTAATGTAAAATCGTATAATTGCATATTGTAACAATCTGAATATATTATATATATATAACTCGTATCTTTTTTTTTTTTTTTCTTTTCATCGATAATATTGTAAAATGTAAAAAGTATCATGTAAAGCAATCATCGAATTGGACGCCAAAATATCTTACGAGATAATAATAAAGATCGAAATATGATAAAAAGAATTGTTAATAATATTTTCTAAAAAAAGTGAAGAGAATTCCTTATACACGCTCTTGTTAAGCTCTCTGTTATTTATATGATCCGTCCTAGTTCGTCTATGATTATCCGTCAATAGAAAGTATTTATTTCTAGTAGACCGTCGTGTTATAGTTCTGAAGGCACTGTTCAAAAGTTGACTATTTTTTTTTTTTCATTTTTTTTTTGAAATAACAAGTCTTCAAAACATCTTCAAACGATCCGACATGGAAAATCGTTACAAACATCGACGCAATTTTCACATGCCTCGCTTGAACTATATCACAAAACTCAAAATAGAGTAGTTTCAACTTGACAGCCAGTGCCAATGCCAATGCCATATTTGTCGGGTCTGTGATCGGTTAGGAATATCATGAGCTAGCAAATCGATGGCCAGAATTCAGGCTTATGATACGCAATGGCCGGTGCGTTCCATTAATTATGTATCAATATCGTATCATTATATTACACAAACGCTTATTAATTTAGAGGCACATTGCTAAGGGTCTTGGTTCTTAAAAGTTGCTCCCTACATTAATGAACTTATGACAATCTAGCTATTATAATTATTCAGTACGACAGCGATTTGGCATATAATATGGAAACTGTACAAGAGAATATAAGAGAATATAATAATATTCAAACTATTGCTCTGTACACATAAAAGTAGAACATGGCTAAAAAGGCCGATATTGTGAAAAAATTTTTTATAGTTTTAAGATGTTTCGCAAATTTGTATTTTGAGCTCATAAAAGGAAAAAAAGAGAGTGAAATATAAAATTGTCGTGTGACAAAAAAAAAAAAAAATAATAATAATAATAATAACAAAACTTCTATCATATAATACAATTTTTCTACTGAATTTCCTTACCTAGGTAGGAAAACTTTGGCTACTGCTACATACTATTTGTACCTCGACAGAACCGCCGACTTTATGCTGCTAAGAACACTGATTGCGCATCTAGAATAAAAAGAATTGCACGCAGCACACACAGTATCTAAACCAGAAACAGATCAATTACATACTCAGGAAGACCTTAACAGTAGTATATATGCTCACGCTTTAATAAACCTGAATTCTACGCACAACGATCATAATATCAATTAAGCATTCACTATACTCAGAGATTCTTCCATTTTGGAATATTTAAATGATTTTTCATTTTCATTTATTTATTCATTACTGAACCATTTGTTGTTTATGTTCATAACTTATTTAAAAGCTCTTAGCCTTTAGAACAACACGTTCACGATATCGCTCTGAGATGCGAATGCTCTATAGAATGTACACAGTAGACAGCAAAAGCGTCTAGACCACAGTGTTCACATTTATTTCAATGCGAAACATTTTTCAAACTAGGGGAATCAGGCTGATGCAATGGCAGGCGTTTGACATATATATATATATATATACACATGTATATACATATATATACATGTATATATATATATTATTTTTTATATATGTATATATACATATATAAAAGTTAATTCCTTAACATACAAAAATGGATAAATTTCCTAAAAAACGTGTAAGAACATTCCCTGAATAGGTAATCACATGATAATTCTGTTCTCCAAATGACACACATGTTCTTTTATAAAAACATAAAAAAAATTTGTTTTAAATTAAAATTCTAAATAATGTATCATAGTTTAATACATTTTTGAAATTTGATGCTCCGTCAAAGTACCAGCCTGTATCCATCAACATGAAGAAACAGTCATGTAATTCCGTAACGTCTAGACGCAGATATCACTTTCCTGCATCCAAACAAATGGAGCACTAGGTTAGATCACAAAAAGTATGGTGTAATATTTAAAGGTGGAATTACTCTTTCGGAATCAGGCACTGCCTGGAATAGCACTGGATTTCTTTGATCAACAGTTGTGAACTGTAAAATACTAGCTACATTACCACAGCGATAACAATAATTTGGAGCTGACCATACTGTTACAAGCTTATCATTAAACATATATCTATAACCTGTAAATAAAATTGAAATATATAAAATATAATCATAAAATTTTTCTTACATATTCTTTGTTATTTATTATTTATATACCTTCATGAACCAATTGATGAGCTCTACAAATAAGTTTAAGATCGTTGATTTCCATAAATTCATATGTTACTTTACTTCCAAATAACCAACCTGCTCCACGCGGACTAATAGTCCATGATTCTACATCTTCTGGATCGGACCAAACTAAATCACAAAAAGCACCTGTAACAAAAATCAAAATAATGTAAAAAGCTTCGATATATTCAAAAAAAATAATAATTTTAAAAAACTTGTATAATACCTTTATGTGGAATTTCTCGATTTCTTTCAATTGTCCTAATTTGATCTAATGTTCTAATGGCTGGAGATAATCCACCATGCACACAAAGTACTTGATCATCAATTAACTAAATAAAAATATTCGTATTTATATTAAATATATTAAATGAGTATTAAATTTATTTATTATTTACAAATACTAACGGCAGCAACTGCGAGTAAGTCGAACACCTTACAACAGTATTTCCATGCATTAGCATTGCCATATTTGTTTTGACACTCATCTGCATATGACATAACAAGCTTAATCACCATAATTATTAGACATGCATAGTAATAAATTATTATTAAATATATTTTTTAAAATATATTACATGAATGTAATAATTTTTATAATACGATATATACTAACCATAAAAACCATAAACATGGGTAATTTGTCTGGATTCATGATTTCCACGAAGTAATGTTATTCTATCAGACCATTTAGCTTTAAGTGTGAGTAGGCGGGTAAACGTTTCTACACTATAATACCCTCTATCTACAAAATCTCCCATAAATATATAATTTGTCTCAGGCACAGCGCCTCCATTACGGAATAATTCTTCTAAATCGTAAAACTAAAATAAAATAAACAATTATAACAATTATCAAACATTTTGGTTTCGTCAACATCGTTATCTCTAGATATCGATATCATATTGAGGTTAGAACAAAACTATAAAACTTACCTGACCATGAATATCTCCACACACTGTTACCGGTGTAGATACTGGTTGAATATTAGATTCTTCTAATAATATGTCACATACCAAGTCACAAAGTTTCTAAACAAAATTAACTTAATTGTTAAGAGACAAACAGAGATTTCAAATAACCTATGAATGTACGTTTAATTTATCGTCATATGCGTTAACAAGATATAACAAAATTGAGATCATACTAAACAATATTTTTTATATATTGTTTACCTTAAGATCATTTTCGGGAAGATATTTGCATTCTTTTGCAAGTTCCATCCATTTATCGATGTCTGACATTTTGGACTCGTATCGTAGGAAAATACTGATCGCGCCCTCACTTACATATGTGTACACTGAATTTATAGTTGATTTATATTTTTATAAATTGTTTTACCGAAATAATTTCAATTAAATTTCCAATTTTTATTCATTTTACTCATAAAACCTTAAATATTCTATTTAACAAGGAATTACTTCTTCTCATCGCGTTAGATGCAAACTTAATTAACCTACTATGAAGCAAGATTAAAAAACACCAACTTTTATTCCCCGCAATCCTTTCATATTATTGGTTCTAAATTATCTTTATAAAAAAGGAAATTATACTCAAAATTGAAAATCTTTTATCAAAAATATATTGAAATACATTTCCACTATCAATGTCAATAAATACAAATATATCATGTGTCAGTATAGTTATTTTAACAATTTTAAGCATTCAACGATTTTGAAATAGATATTAGTTTTTAGAACACATGATATATCATCCAATAATAACATCGTTTTAACAAATTCTAGTAACTTTTGTTTTATTTTTGTACATTTTAAAAGAAAATTTTAAAAGATATGTGGTATTTAAAAATTTGACTATGTAAAATCAGATAAAATTTAAATCTTGTTTCATTTTGATTATATTTTATAAAATATATTAATAAAATAAAATTATATTTTATAAATATTCTATTTATTGAAAAATAACTATATTACATTTATCGAAAAGTAACTATATTGGTATATTTAAAACTAAAAAATTTTTTTTCATTTGTGATAAAATATCTAAAATAAATATTACACTTTAAATGTGTATCATATGTAATATTTTATTACATACATACAATAATATTAAAATAATAATAATATAATATTAATAATCAAAAACTAATTATTATGATGGATTATTTTTCATTAAAAATTATAATAATATAACGAATATTATTAGAGAATTTGTATAAATAATTCTTTCATAAAAATATTATTTTTTTATTTTTTATTATTTCAATAACAACACATCGTTTTTGTAAATAATATAAGTACAATCTAATATTCTCATTGGTCGTTGTCTATTTTCTTAACGATTGTGAATGTTCCGCGCCAATGAAAATATTTGCCGCGTAAAAATTCAAAAATCAATTGACAAATTTGAAAAGAAAATGACTGTTTGTCATAATAGGATGAACGAATAACAAAAGGTATAATTTCAATTTCCTTCGATAGCAAATCATTGTGGAACGTGGAAAAAGGTCAGCAGCAGGAGTACGATATGGATTTTATCTCGCAACGAAAAGTGGGTCACATCAAAAGCGCCTGTGCGCACGCTTCGATTATCGATTGAAACGTTACGTGCCTTGAGTTCGTACGCTGGATCTCATTTATGTGAATGCAGTGACTGTGGATGTTCGTAGTGTGACTTTCTCGCAGTAGGCCAGTGGCTGACATCTTTCGTTTGTGGTCCGTGTGTGATCGTGAGTTTCGGAAAAATGCGGTGAAATTCAATATACAGCGACGTGCCTTCGCGAAATCGGCCATTTTGATAGTACGTGTTTCGCGAAAACGGATAGGATCACTTTTGGCAGCTACCCTCAACGGTTGTGCGTGAAAGTGGTGGCAGCTCGGTGTCGCCCACAGGACACAGCCGTAAAACTGAAAACGATCGTGTTCTTGGGCTAGTCAGCAAACAGTCTCAACAAAATGGCAGGAAACGCGGGTATGGAACAATTAATTCCGATTGTGAATAAGCTGCAGGATGCCTTCACACAGCTTGGGGTGCACATGCAACTTGATTTACCACAAATCGCAGTAGTAGGTGGTCAGAGTGCAGGAAAAAGTTCTGTTCTTGAAAACTTTGTTGGAAAGTAAGTATTTAATGTCCTGTCGTTTCATCGTTTTTCTTTTTTAAAACATTTTCCAATCTTTTGTGAATCAGAAGAATTCAAACGTTTGATTAAAGGCGTGGCGAACTACGCCACATTATAATTTTAATATCCGTCATCAATTATTTCAATTTGAGTATTTCTTTAGGTTAACTATTTTAATCGATCGATCTTGTCATCAAAATTAACTATATCTTTATAATTCGTGGCCGCCTACACAGTGACCTGTCAAATGATTATTCTTTCCCGTTGGTGTAATATTTAACCTTCTACTGAATTGCCTGAAGTATACACATATAACGAAGAAAATTATTAATGCAATTGTTCTCAGTTTAGGTCATTTAATGTTGCTTTCTATT